GGGGAGGGGAAAGGGGAGAGGGGGAAAAGGGGTGGGGGGAGTTCGTTAACTCTTGACTCTTTCAAGGCGTAGAAAATATAAATGAACGATCAGTAGCAGGCCAAAGGCAATGTTACAACACATTTCGCACCATCATACACAAATCAGAACCACGTATTTTTTTCATTTGCTTGAGGTTTGCTCCTACAGACTTCACCATAAGTTAATGACCACCTTGACAGACAACTCTGATTTTGTAAAATTCAGAAAAAGACAGCAAGGAATGTTTTTAAAATTTTTGCTCTGAAAGTGTTAATGGGTTACCAATGCGTGCTGCATAGCTTCCAAAAGAGGCAAAACCATCATGTGCTGCACGAAAATCCTCCGGGAATTTTAGCCAAATTTGCTGTTTTTTATCGACTTGTGTGCGACACCACGGACATCCCTCAGTTAAAATTTATAGTGCACATCATAAACGGACGTACGGTCTCGAACTGTGCTCACATTGGTGGTAGTATGAGCTGCCGTTTGCGCAATATCCAGTATCGCATCAACGTTCCACCAAGACGAAAGCTGAGAGACTTTGATCGTGCCAAAGCTATGGCAAGGCTGCTGGGGGGGAGTTGGAGCCCGAGAAGTTACCAGAAGGCTTGCAGTGTCACACTCTGTCATTGTCAGCCTGAGGCAGCGCCATCAAGCCACTGGATCAGTCCAAGAACGCCCATGTGCAGGTCGACCCAAGAAGACCACTCAGAGTGTTTGCAAGGGGTCCTTAACTTATGTTGAAGTCTGTATTTCCTATCAAACATCTGTCGTTCTTATCTCCCCTCCTTCGTTTTTGTGTTTATTACGCTCTTGTAACACCTCTAATCTTCGGCCTTCATATGACCTTATTGTTACAAGTGCCGTAAAACTTTTACAAAAGCTAACAACCACTCAACCTGGGATGGCCCTGGCATTCAGGGTCTAAGAAACGTATCTATAAGTAATGATATAAATTGTATCAATGGAGGCGTATACACAGAAAATCATAACAACTTACCTTGAATGTTCTTCCCCTCTTTGAACGCCTCATAGTCTTCCTCCGATAGGAAGATAATTCTCTCAACCAGGCGGCCGCTCTTTGTGCGGATGTAGGTCTTGATAGCTTTGACACCTGAGAAAAGGGGGAGGAAGGCTAAACGACACAGCTCCAGGTTAAATTTGCTATCTCAACTTCGACACTTTCCAGGAGGGGTTCCCACTCGGACCGAGAGACAAGGATGTAAAAAAGGAGTATCTGTGTGTGTGTGTGTGTGTTTGTGTGTGTGTGACAGAGAGAAAGGGGGGA